TCCATCCCTCCACACACACAGCCCAATCCAGCCCCACACACTACCCAATCCAGCCCCCCCATCATCCCCTCCACCACACATACAGCCCGATCCAGCCCCCCCCCCCCGCTCAGCCCCCACACTCGAAATAAGCACATGATTTTAGATTTTAACCCAGGCTGGGGCCTTTGCAGTGAACTAATCCCATGGGGGGGGGGGGAACCTCAGCTGCAACCCCCCCCCTTATTTCCAGGGATCAGGCGCACACAGATGCAGCCTTGTCCATGTCCTTCCAGCACATGGGAGAGGGGGGTAAAGACGCCCCCCCCCGCTATCCCCCCAGGATTCCTGCATTCACTCACCGAAGGGACGAGCCAGGAATCCCACTGCCAAGATCCACCCCAGACATGGGAGTGGGACTGTCCCGTCCCGTCCCCCCACACACACACCCTCACTGCAGCAATCCACCCCACCCCCTTCCCTGCCCCCACACAGGGGGAGCGACCCCCCCCACCTGTCCCAACACATGCAGGAGTGGGAGCAATTCCCCCCTTCCCCCAGATTTAGCTGGATTGCACAGGGATCTGGTGAGTGGAGAGATCCCAGGGACCTCCCAAAATGGATTCCGGCAACCCGTCTCTCACCCCCCCATGCTGGGGGAAGACAGGACAGGGCACCCCCCCATTGTCCTGGACCCATTTCAGACACCCAATCCCCCCCCACTAGATCCCCCAGGTAGATGACTGGTGGGAATCCCTCCAATGAGCAAGAAAAGCGTGCAGAGGGATCCATTGATGTGGCTAGGTCTGCCGTGAGAGGTCATAGTGGATCACAACTGGGGGAGCTCCCCAGACCAGCTAGAGAACACGGTGAGGGCTCACCCCAGATTATTCTCCCTCTGTGGAGACCAGGACTAGATCTCAGAGGCAAACAGCCTCGGTGGATCCCTCTGGGACAGAGCCAGTGAGAGGGGAGCAGAGAGAAAGATACCTAGAGTGACAATCCAGACTAGATCCCCCAAACAGCTACAAAACAGGACGCGCAGATCTCAGAAGTGAGAGTAGATCCCCAAACACTGAACAATGGGGAGAGGGATCTAGTAGGTGTAGTAACAGTCCCAGGCAATCAGGGTGAAATAGATCACCAGCCTAATAGAGTGATCTAGTGAGGGGCGATTGCCAGGGAATGTCACACGGGACCTGGGTGTGATGGGATCCCTGGGGGTCCGAGTGGATTCCCAGCCCAAGATAAGTGCATAGATCTCCACACAGTGACAGCGGAGTTATGTGTGTGAGGATCCCTATAAGAGTAGCATGGGGGGGTAGATCCTTGCAGGGAGGTCAGGGTAGATCCCTGGGGGTCACAGAAGGATCCCCAGGCCAAGAGGTCGAAGAACAGAGAAATCCAGTGTGGGTAGATCCCAACACCAGAACATAGATTCCTGAATGTCAAAAGTCACCATGGATCCCCCATTCCATTAAGGGCTGGGATCCGAGTGATCCAGTATGAGTATCCCCATGAGGATGACAACAGGTACATCTCAGAGGTTGCAGTGGATCCCCCAGCCAATGAGGAAGGAGAAGATTAATCACTTTTAGGTGCACTTCATGAAGTGGATCACATAGGACAGCAAAGGTAGGTAGATCCTAGGGTCAGCGATCACAGGGGATCCCAAGTCTGGTAGAGAATCCCATGTGAGTGGATCCCATAGGGTCAGAAGTCATTAGAGACCCCTAATTAATGGGGAAGAAGCAGAGGGGGCTCCAGTGCATGCAGATCTGATGTAGCCCGGATGGGTAGATCCTATGGGTCACAGCAGATCCCCTAGTCCAATGAGGGAGAAGATGGATCCAGTGTGAGTTGATCCCATGGGACCAAGTGGTGGATCCCAGCCCAACATGACAGAATACATGTGTGATCCAATGGGTGCCAATCCCATGGGACCAATCAGATGGATCCCAGGGTCCCAGTGGATCCCAACCAGATGGGACGGAGGATCCATGTGATCCAGTGAGAGTTGATCCCACCATGGGACCAAGTGGGTGGATCCCCAGGTCATGGTGGATCCCAACCAGGTGGGACAGACCCATGGGATCCAGTGGGTGTGGATCCCATGGGGCTGCCATGGGTGGATCCCAGGGTCCCAGCGGATCCCAGCCAGATGGGGCAGCAGATCCATGGGATCCAGTGGGTGTGGATCCCATGGGGCTGCAGTGGGTGGATCCCAGGGTCCCAGTCAGATGGGACAGCAGATCCGTGGGATCCAGTGGGTGTGAACCCCATGGGGTTGCAGTGTGTGGATCCCAGGGTCCCAGTGGATCCCAGTCAGATGGGACAGCAGACCTGTAGGATCCAGTGGGTGGGGATCCCATGGGGCTGCAGCGGGTGGATCCCAGGGTCCCAGCGGATCCCAGTCAGATGGGACATACGCTCCATGGGATCCAGTGGGTGTGAACCCCATGGGGCTGCCGTGGGTGGATCCCAGGGTCCCAGTGGATCCCAGTCAGATGGGACAGCAGACCTGTGGGATCCAGTGGGTGGGGATCCCATGGGGCTGCAGCGGGTGGATCCCGGGGTCCCAGTGGATCCCAGCCAGATGGGACAGCAGACCGGTAGGATCCAGTGGGTGGGGATCCCATGGGGCTGCAGCGGGTGGATCCCGGGGTCCCAGTGGATCCCAGCCAGATGGGACAGCAGACCGGT